ATCCATGCTTAATTTCACAGTAAAGTGTATTTTGACAAGTTTTGTTTTGTACTTGAAAGGAACAACAAATTTCTTGTAGACAACCTATAGCCAAAGTGTCTCCACTAAGAATTAATTTTGAGACTAGTAGTCTTAAAGAAGGCATGTATTGACTTTTAACTGCCTCGAAGATATTGGTGTCCAGTGGGAAAGGAATAGAGCAGGTAGCTAAATATGACAATTAAGATCTTCCTTTGGAAATGACACAAGCAGATCATCTAAGAGCAGTCTTTTTTAAAAAAAATGAGCCTTACCTTGCACTTCCTTAAGCCTTTGGTTGTCAGACTTTAGCATACTCTCAAGGTGTTTTAAGAGATTTGTAGTCAAATTAGAATTCCCAGAAATAGAAAAAGGCACAATGGTTTGACCATATTGACCCAAATCCATTTGCCTAATATTATCATTCTCTGAAGTGTTACCAGCCCTTAAGAGAAAGGCAAAGCAACCTACGAGCCCCAGTATCTGTAGCAAAAGGAGTTTCCAGTTGCGCCAACTGAACATCATCCTTTTTATGAACATGGCACGGAACTGCTGGTTGTAGAGGGAATACTAAAGAAAGAACAGAGAAACATAATGTTACAATAATCGTAGACTTAAACAAGTCATTCATGTTGAAATTCATGTTGAAATTTATTAAGATGAACACTTTGAAATATTATGGTGTAAACATAAAATTTTATGGTATAAAAACATGTGATATAAACACATAAAGTTTATATGAATAAATACTTGGAATAGAACCTAAGCATAGTATGATGGTACACCATAGTAAGATCATTCTTTTGTTTATATAAGGCAGGGTCAACAAATTATGCCCTCTTCATATAAACAAATTTTTACTAGAACACAGCTATGCCCATTCATTTCTGTATTGTCATGTTTTTTTCCTACTACAATGGCAGAGTTGAATAACTGTCACAGAGACCATATGGCCCACAAAATCTTCAATATTTATTATCTCTCTACGTAAAGTTTGCTGAACTCTGCTATAATAGAAAAAATAAAATGTTCAAAGTCTGGCTTTTGATGTAACACATTTAAAATCTCAACAGGATGATTTTCCTCAGACTCTTGATAGTCAAGAAAACCAGGGTGCAATGTAGAAGAAATGGATGATTAGAAGAAGAATGAAAGAAATGCTTGGTAACTCGAAGAGACTTCCCATGCTGAGAATCATACTGATTAGAGAATAATTCCTTATGCAGTAACAATTCCCATTACAAACACTTAAATTACCTAAAATATCATGCATGCTTGATTATTATGTAAACAACTGATACCTTTATCTATAACCTGTCACTTCTGCATTAGAAAATTGATTAGGGCCGGCCCGGTGGTGCACTAGTATTAAAACAAAATGTGCTTCTTGTGCAAATCTATACCAGGTTTCTTCGTAAAGGTGCTTACCCCGGTATTAAACATTATAGTAGGGCTTTCATTCAGAGTGGGAGAATCTATGCTCTTAACATTTCTTGACACATTCCTATCCTGGTTCGTGATGGATAATTTGTTCATTCGGGAGGAAGTCTTTTTATCTTGAATATCTGTTTGTGAACTTTCCATGTGACCAACCCTACATTAAAAAAAAAAGTACAAAGCATTTCATTTCAACCTTATCCCAAAATTTCTTGTTTGGAGAATATGAGTAGCAACCTTCAACTCAGAAAAGTCCTTGTCTTTTTTTACTCACTGCCTGGCAGGAACATTATTTTCAGGCAACACAGTAACCGTGGCAGAGCAATGGCTCCAAAACACGCCCTACCCCCCACGCTGACCTCACTGCTCTCAAATTTCTATTGTGTGAAATCTGAAAGTTTGGAAAGTTTACAAAGGGAACTAAGACATGGTCCTTTCCCTCCAAGGTTGTTTTTTTCCCTATGTTCTTTTAAGAAAGAGTATTACTTGCCTAAGGAAGATCTCTTCCATGGTGGTAATAGAGACACCAAAGCTAGCAATGCCCAGCTTTCTCTGTCTCTTTTCCAGAGCAGTAAACAGAGCTTCAAACCTAGAAGCACAAGAGAAGAGAAAAAGCTAACACCAAACTTGCTGGTTTTTGTATTTATATCTTTTTATTCTAAACCGATGTTCTCATAAGTGCAGAAAATGCAGATCATTCCTCACTTTAATGCTTGTTATAATTTCATGCCTTTGGTAAATCAGAAAGTTGGGACAAATGGAAAGAAACAAACTTGCAGATTGCTGTAGCAAATTGCTTCCCACTCTACTTAGTTTTTGGATACACATAATTTTGGTCTTGTAATAAAACTGTTAAGAGACTATGTATGTTAATAACTCTTAACTAGTTGACATGAGCTAACTTATCACCCAAATATACACTATTGTTCCTGTTACTAAGTACACCAAAAAAGAAAATAATATTCAATAAGAAAAAAAAGACACTTTAAAATAGAAAATAGATAAGAGCAGGAGAACTTGAAGACACAACTGTGTGATTAAATATCCAGGAAAATCTATGGAAGTCAAGCCAGATGCAATATAGAGACATCAAGCCTCTTAAAGAACAGTTTTCCTGGGAAGATCTCATAGTACATTGTGTTCGAAAGAGTATCTTTTCCAGAAACCTCCAGTTCTCAAAATAATCTCCATCATATTCTTTATGAGGAGTAATTGAACCTATCTTTGCACATTCTCAGGGTTGGGGGAACTCAAAGTTCTCTCTTTGGGAAAATCTATCAAAATTTCTTCCATATTCAAGCTTAAATTCTATCTAATTTTGCACATTAGCTCTAATCTTACAACTGAGGTTATATAAAATAGATATAATCCACCTATGTGACAGCTTTTCCCATTTTTAATTTAAAATATGCTTTCATTTATTTTTTTAATTTTTATTGTGGTAAAATATATATAACAAGGTTTGCCATTTTAAGAATTTTTAAACATACAATTCTCTGGACTTAATTGCATTCAAAATGCTGTGTGACCACCACCTCTATTTATATCCAAAATTTTCTGTCATCCTAAACATAAGCTGTGTACCCATGAAACAATAACTTCCCATTATTCCTTCCTCCCAGTTTCTGGTGAACTCTAATCTACTTCTGTCTCTGAATTTTTTTCTTTTTCTTTTTTCTTAATTGCTTCTTGATAATTGTATATATTTATGAAGTACAATGTAATATTTGGGTACATTTATACATTGTGCAATGATCATATCAGGGTGTTTAGCATATCTGTCACCTCAAACATTTGTCACCTGTGTTGGGAACATTCAATATCCTCTCAACTACAGTAGTTTGTTGTGGGCTGTAGTCTGTCTATATTACTATAGAACACTAGATCTTATTCCTTCCTATCTCTCTACAATTCTGTATCCACTGACCACCCCTCCCCATCCCCTTCTTCCCCATCCTTACCAATCCCTAGCTTAAGCCTTCTAGCAGGAATATAACATGCATTTCTTCCTTTTAGCTTGTAGGAGTTTCACAAAATGATATATAATTCATTTCTTTTTCTTCCTGCTGTCACCCACTGGTTTTTCCTGCACATTACTATCTTCTAGCTCAAGAATTTTAAGCATATATATGTATACTCTCTAATATGCAGCACTATTTTGACACCTGTCTTACATATCTATTCCTCTGGAGCGCTGCATGCCATTCCCTGCCATATTCTAAACCTAAGTTTCATTCTAATGAGTCTCAGCATTGTTTTACAACAAATTACAACACTGTTTTAAAATTTCAAGACCATTTCCCTGTGAGATACATTCAATGAATACATATAGGTATATGTGATTAAAAATTATTTCTTTTCTCTTCCATATTACTTATTCAGGCAAGTAAACACGTTAGAACAATGTCTCACAGAAAGTAAGTGCTCAATTACTGTTAGCTATCGGAATGACCACAGCAGTGCCGTGGTCTAACAGAGGGAGGGAACATTCCTAGCGCTACAAAGTGGAGTGGGGGAAAGGGGGAGGGGGACGGAGGTTGGGGGATAATTGGGCGGGGACAAGGGGTACAAAAGGAATTTCTTGTAGTGGATATGTCCCTAGTATGTCCCTCATATCATGGGCAGGAGGGGTGACAATTAGCTTAGTATCTCATGAATATTCTTAATAAATAAATACATAAAAATTAAAAAATAAAAGTAAAAAAAAAAAGAATTTTAGCTGGAATGGAAACCACTAAGAATCTAATCATTATTTTATTCTTTTCATACTATATTCTGAAATAACTGGATCCACAGGTATATTTTTTGTTATTATTTTCTCCTTCCCATTTCTTAAAAACTCACCCTGTTAGAGAAAACTTCATTCTGAGCAAATGTATTTTCTCTAAATTCATGATTTTCATTTTATTCTGTACTGAGTCTGTCATTCCATATTTGGATTTATGGACCAGAAAGCTTCCTATTTTTCTTCTATGTCTGAATGATTAGTAAGAAGATATGATAAACATCATGTGCTTATAAATCCTTCCATTTCCTCTTTTATATGTAATCATAGCATGGTGTTTCTGACCTCTTCTGAGAATGTCATTTGTGTCCATATGAAACAGGATAAGCAGGTAGTGTAATAAGTTTAAGCAAGTGCTTTATCTGTATATCTCCTTTGGACAGCTTTTGTAGCTCCAGATGGATCATAACTACCACATTGGGTTAAGGTACCAGCATAAAACCTGGCTCCCACCTTTGCTGAATGAGTCAAATACTTTGTATCTCTAGGGAAACATAGCTAGAATTTTATTTCTGATTCTCTGTTCTGTTTCATTATTTTACTCCAGCTCATGACTAGGTTTTTGGTTCTGCTCCACCATCTGATCACGCTGCCTCTTGCTGCTGTTTCTCAAAATTTTCCAGTTTATTGAGTAAATAAAATTCAAATGATGCTATTCCTCTTCCCTTTCTTTCTTCTATGTGATGTGTCCCCCTTTTTCCTTGAAAAGGAGAAATTAAAGTCCTTCTTTGTATCTCATGAATATTCCTAACCAATAAGAAAGAAAGAAAGGAAGGAAGAAAGAAAGAAAGAATATGACAAGTGGTTTGAGTCTAGGGAATGCCAAACAAGCACTTACTTATATATGGCAAGAAGATAAAAATATCATACTCTGAAAATCACTGATGAATATTCTTAGTTTCCATTTCCCCCTCTCAGAATGGTCATCCCAGGTAGAGTTATTAGTCTTTGTGAGTTCCTCTGATGAATAAGTTGGCTATAACTGGTGCATTTGAACTGCTTGTTTGCTCTGGGTTCTTGTCATCCTGACTCCAAGAGCCACCATGTAAGCTGCCTCATTTTTTCTCTTCTTATTTTCATATGTCCCTTCACTCCACTCACCAGGAGTAAGTTTTACTCTACCAAGAACATACCATCAGTTATCACCAATTATCACCAGGAAGCTACGGCATCTCTCTTCAGTGCAAGCAGCAGCCATGACAGCAGTTTTGTCATGTTAATAAACTCTACTTCCTAAGCCTGAAGAGACCAGGAAAAGCAACAATTATTTCTGGCTATCTAAAAACCAACCATTTAGCACTCTCGGGATTCATACCTGTGTATGTACTCTTTGGGTAGAATAAACGATAATTCAGTCCCAACGTTGTTCTCCAAAGTGGCTGTTGGTATGTAATAATGAATTAATTTTGATATTACTTCCACATTACAATGATGCTCCTTCACCATGACTATATGGTATCCGGCACCTGAGAAAATACATTTAGAAGGAGAAATAAAATAATTTTATACTTCTCATACTCTTGTCCAGGTGAGCTAGAAGATAAGGCATGTTATGAATCATTTGATTACAACTCTAAGGAGCCTAATAAATACTTCTTTATAATTTCATTTATTTTCATGGGGACTGAAAATGATCTGGATTATATAACGAGATAAATGAGAGATAGGAAGAAAAACCTGTGTTATCTGGCTTCTCATCCTATTGCTGAAATCTGAGAGGACAAGATTAATATTATACAGATATTTATTGGGCGCCTATTATATATGCCAGGCAATAAATAACTCAGATAAAAATATCTCCCTTCAGAGATGCAAGAAATCTTTTCAAAGACATCTGTGCCTTCACTAGGGACACTGCACTAGCCTTCCAGAAGCCAGGGGTGGGGTGGTGGGGTAGTGGAGAAAAATCGCTCCAGGGCACTCCAGGGCTTTATGAAAAACATCAAAGTGGCATTAAGACAGCTCAGGACAGGACAACAGAGCTGAGAGAAATACCTCTGTGGCACAAGTCCTTCACCGATATGGCCTTCTGAGGACTTGGGAGAGGACAGCAGGGTAGAGAAAAGTCTTTTAAGGAACAGAAAACAGAGAACATTGATGGAGAGCAAAGCATATTTGTCAAATTCAAGAGGCTGGCAACTGGCCTGTAGCTTAAGGAGATCTCTATAGTTTCATCCATGCACAGATCCACAGTTGCCTTCTGAGGACTTGGGAGAGGGCAGCAGGGTAGAGAAAAGTCTTTTAAGGAACAGAAAACAGAGAACACTGATGGAGAGCAAAGCATATTTGTCAAATTCAAGAGGCTGGCAACTGGCCTGTAGCTTAAGGAGATCTCTATAGTTTCATCCATGCACAGATCCACAGTTATAAAATTCTGATTCCATTCCCAAACCATTTGAAGACAGTGATGAATAGAATCTAAATAAAACTACAACACACTCCAATATTGGCTCAAATACAGATTATGACTCAATCTCTCATAATAGTGACCTGACAGAGACAAGGGTGTACCATTTTCTGAGATTAAATATTAGATATTTTGGCCTCTACTGTTATTTTATTCACAACATGTCATAAAAATTACAAAACATGCAAATGAACAGGAAAATATGAGCTTTATGACAGAAAAATCAATAGAAGCAAACATAAAGATTGGCCCAGATGTAGAAATTATAAAATGAAGACTTTAACCCTGATAAATATGTTAAATAGTCTAGCAGAAATAGAGAAAAACATGGTGTGAATAGATGAGCAATTTCTGTAGATTAATGAAAACTATAAAAAAGGACCAATTAGAAATACTGGGAAAACTACACCAAAAGTAATTTATTCAATAGTCTCAATAGCAGACTAGACAGAGGAGAAGAAAAAAATCAATAAGCTTAAAAGCAGGTCGTTAAAAATGATATAATATCTAGAATATACAAGGAACTCAACAGCAAAAAAAAAAAAAAAGATTAAAAATGGGCAAAGGAGCTGAATAGACATTTCTAAAAAGAACACATACAAATGGCCAATAGGTATACAGAAAAGTTCTCAACCTTATTAATTATCAGAGAAATGCAAATCTAAACAACAACAAGATATCATCTTACCCCAGTTAGAATGGCTATTATCAAAAAGACAAAATATAACAAATGCTGGCAAGGATATGGAGAAAAAGGAACTCATACATTGTTGGTGGGAATGTAAAGCAGGGACAGCTGATCTGCATCCCAATCAGCATAGGACCACTCAGAGGAGACTGGTCAGGAATATAGAATTTCATGGGGTGCAGTTTGATTAAAAGACGCAGACTCAGATCAGAGTTACTACACAACCCAGGTGCACTGAGTCTGTGCAGAGCCAGAAGTACCTATAAAGTCAACCATTATAAACTGCTGCACAAAAGGCCCTCCCTAGGGAAGCAGCAGCAAAGCAGAAATTTAGCTCAACTACAGAGCTCAAGTACTAGTTCCAACAGGAAGTTTACCCACTTTAGAAGTAAGCAAAGGACAAAAAATTAGTTCCAGCTCAGACACACTGCAAATGCCTCAGGTCCACCCAGGGACATAAGGCATAGAGCCAGGGACTGGATCCCCCCTCCCCCCCACAACCAGGCACAACGCTAGTGCCAAGGATCATGCCAAAAACATCATCTCCATGTGGGTGGCCCGCCACAGCCATCACAATAACCATGGCTGCTGTGAAAGCATCTAGATGCCACAACCACCATGCAGATGGTCCTCCAGCCACTGGAGTGCACTGACACAAGGAGAGTCACTAGCAGAGATAAAGAGGAGGATGTCTCTCTCCACAAATCTCATTCCAGAGTGACAGAAGCAGCATCTGCTCTATGATAATATTGGGGGACCTGATCATACCTCTCAGCATTGGACAGATCATCTAGGCAACAAATCAACAAAGTAACCATTATTCTTTCAGAAGGAGAAAAGAAATCTAGGGTAATTAGAGGCGGTAGGGGGTAGGGGGAGGGGAATGGGGTGAGACTGGACAAGGGGCATAAAGAATAATTCTGATTTGTAACAATATATATGCTAGTAATATCAAGTTGATCAACATATCTCAACATTGAACCCCCAAAATGTGTATAGTCAATTATGATTCAATAAAAATAAAAATAAAAGAGAGAGAGAGAAATTAAAACATTCCAGATAAATAAAATCTGCGCATTCACAAGCAGTGGACCTGTCTTGCAAGAAATGCTATACGGAGTCCTTCATGTTGAAATAAAGAGAAGCTAGGCAGTAACGTGAGCAGAGATTTTGTACATTAAAGTTAATATAAATTAAAATTAGATTGTTATAACTTTAGGATGTAAATGTAATTACCATGGTAACCAAAAAGAAAATATTTATAGAATATACACAAAAAGATATGAGAACAAAAAAGAAAACTAAATCAAAACATTTCACTACCAAAAAATAAAAACAAAAACAAAAAACCCAAAAAACCTAAATAGGAAAGAAGGCAGGAAGGGAGGAAATGAGGGACAAAAGACATATGCAAAAAGAAAAATAACAGAGTGATTTACTCCTTGTTATTAATTACTTTAAATGTAAATATACAAGAGTCTCAGTTTAGATCCAAAGACACAAATAAGTTGAAAATGAAAGAATGAAAAAAGCTTTTCCATGCAAATTATATCAAAGAGAGCTGATGTGGGTATATTAATACTAGTTAAAAAAGAGTTTAAATCTAAAGTTTATGAGACAAATAAGGATATTACATATTAATAAAAGGTTCAATATAGCAAAGAGATATAACAGTTATAAACCATTTACACATCTAATAAAAGACCTTCAAATATATGGAGCAAAAATTGCCAGAGTTGAAGCGAGAAATTAAAAGTTCTACAACAATAGTTAGGCATTTCAATAACCCACTTACAATAATGGATAGAACAAACAGAAAGAAGATAAGTAAGAATACAGGGGGCTTGAACAACACAATAAACTAACTAGACCTAACAGAGATACAGAACAGTCCACCCAACCACAGCAGAATGCACATTCTTTTCACATGGCACATTCTCCAGAATAGAACATACATTAGGCCACAAATTAAGTCTCAATAGATTTTAAAAGGTATACAAAGTACATTCTCAGACCACAAGAGGATAAAGTGAGAAATTAGTAGCAGAAGGAAAACTGGAAAATTTTAATATGTAAAGATTAAACAACGTACACTTAAACACCCAATGGGTCAAAGACGAGATCACAAGGGAAATTAGAAAATACCCTGATACAAATGAAAATGAAAACACAATATGCCAAAACTTACGTGATGCAGGAAAAGCAGTGCTCAGAGGGAAATTTATAGCTGTAAATGCCAAGATTAAAAAAGAAAGATCTCATATAAATAACCCAAACCTTAAGGAACTAAAAAAGAAGAGCAAATTAAGCTGAAAGAGAGCAAAATGAAGATATAAAGAAAGATAGCAAAATGTTTTATTGAAAACAATAAAGATTAGGACAGAGATTAACAAAACAGAGAATATAGAAACAACACAGAAAGTCAGTAAAATCAAAAGTTGGTTCTTTGAAAAGATCTACAAAATTGACAAAACTTTAGCCAGAGTGACAGCAAAAAAAGGGAGAATGCAAATAATTAAATTTATTTATTTATTTAAATTACATGTGGGAACATTACTACTAACACTACAGAAATAAAAAGGATTATGATAGAATATAATGAATAAGTATACACCAACAAATTAGATAGCTTAGAAGAAATAGATAAATTCCTTGAAATACAAAAAAACCCACCTAAGTAAAGAAGTAGAAAATCTCCAAGACCTGTAACTAGTAAAAAGATTGAATCATTTCTCAAAAAACTCCCAACAAAATAGTCTGAAACCAGATGTCTTGACTGGTGAATTGTACCAATATTTTTTTTT